ATCCCTGTCTCTTGGTTGGCAATTGACATTTCGGCCACTAATGCGAAACTGATTGCCCAGCTGATTGGATCCGACTAATCGTTGATGGATAATGGCCACTGTTGATGGCTACAAGTAAGGGGCCGTCTCACGAGCTCGGATTATTGAGTTACTTTGGCAGCAAGGTTTCAAAGAATACGTCGCCATGATCTGGTACTGATGCTGATGAGTGTGTGACTTCAAATAATCTCAGATCAAAGACACTTGGTTTCTATTCTTACATCTGAATTAGAAAATTAATTTAGGGAAACATGATAGAATTGTGAGTAAAGCAAAAAATGTCTATGGCCAGATCCCATTAAGTTACCGATTTATAATAATGTGTGCATTAATTGTGTGATGGCGTATGACTTAAGTTTCCAGGTCCTACTATGTTATTAAAACATAGGCGATATTCAATATAATAAAACAATTATTGCCATTGTATACCTTTAATGGAATAATTACTTTCACATTGTAACTGGCACATCTGACTGAGATTTGCTTTGAGAGTCAGATGACCATAGATTTTGTAAGATGATTGGCCAAAGTGCCCTGCTTTCCATCACGTCATGTGCTTTGAAAGAGCAAAACGCATTCACATAGAGTGTATCTGCCTCTGTTCTCAAGACAATCAAGAGTGGCGTGGTATCTCATGTCCACCCCAATTAGGAATCAGATATGTCAAGACGGTCATCGCCGTCATGCTGGTAATTTGTCGTTGAGTACCTCCCACTGACTTTCCTAACTACACACATATCTCCTTCAAACCATCGTAACTTGGATGCTGTTAGGATTGAAAAGCGAGGATACCAAGCTTTGTTGTCTCTAAATGACACAGCGACGAGCACTTGGGATTATGCTTAAGGGTTCAGCCTTTCTTTGTTTTTCTCAACACATAATAGTACACTGCGAAGTCTCAGTCCAACCTTGCATCACTTCCAGTACCAGCTTTCCATCACATTAATATCTGCCTCAAGATAGTGAAGCATCAGGAACAATCAAGTCGAGCAATCGCTTTCGAACTCCATTTAAAGCTTAAACGCTTGGTTGTCTCATCAGCTCGTGTAACCGATGTTCATTTCACAAAACCCATTATCATGAAATCACATGTTCAAAGGCCCAGACTTACATTTCAGCTTAACACGGGAAAACATATTTACGAGCCTATAAATTGCTTTATACTGCAATGACCCATGTTCAGGAGAGAACTCCCAGAGGAACTCCAAACCCATGTTTAGTTAAAGACATCATTCCAAATTCGGATTTGAACCGAGTACACTTTTGTATCATCAAATTGAGTTGCAATCAGTTAGTCCTGAAATGTCGATTTATGATATTTACACTGTTAACGCCATTATCATGTCCGTCGGCCGTCATCAAAATAAAGAGAGCAACTGGGAATTCAGAAAATAGGCTTCCTGGAACTACATTAGCCGTTACAAGAGACTGTCATTGTTCAAAGGTTATTAATCCATCGTGACATTACCACCTCTTATAGACTCAACATGTTATTAATGTTGTGAATGGTACTGTACCTAAGGTTTTGAATTGGCGTCCGGTTAGCAACTGACAGGAGAGCAGTTCAGTAAATGCTTACACATCACTTTCATTGCTGCAATTCAAGCCGTGTTTATTTCATGGAAGCCATTAATCATGTTTGTTCCCAAACGAATTAATCCGCGGTGATTGGGCTCACTTTGTATGTTTACAAGAAGGAAGTTTTGCAAAGGGTAGGTAATTATGACATCGTATTCAATAATTACTAATATCAATAACAGATTAATTTTGACTTTGAAAAACGGTTTGGACACAATAATAACCGGAAAATGATACGATAATAGCATCCTATCACTCGCCTCTCTCTTGTGAATATATTAGAGATTGCATTTCACCATGACTTTATTATTTGACCCGATGATACCTGACGTAGCATCTTGGAGTGGAATTTATAATCTGATATGGTGAAAAGGAACATTTTTATGAATAGATAACATCTCTATTGCAACAGATGCGACGTTCTCTTGGATACGCTAACACCGTTATCAAGCAAGCGATATACAGGATTATGTGTAATACATTATCCATATTTATATACATTACATTTTAATTATAATTGATAATATATAGTGATATTTGAGTTAACTCAATTGAAGAGGTTGATGTACAGCGTGGTGACGTTACTGATAGTTGTTGTGATTAGAGATATTGGCATGCCAGGAATTTGAAAGGGTACTGCAATAATTGTAAAAAAAAGTACATCAGGGTTCCGTGTGACGCATAAATGTGCGCAGACTACGCACAAGTGCAGAGAATGTGGCAGAAAAAAACATACTGCGCTCCTAAGACACAAAATAATTAAAATTATATCAAGAACACATCAAGATTAATTATTGATTATTAATATCCACTTCATTAATACATTCAATTCATTCAAGGCTCCATATTAATCATCGAGATTATTAGTACGCGATACCATTTCATTACTTTCAAGGAGGCTCATATTGCCTGCAAGAACCCTTATAATTAAGAAATGGGACCCCGCTTTTGCACGTCGCTTTCGTACTTTCATACATTTTTTTAAATGGGGACCTTTTATCAGAATTTCAATTATCTCCGATGTACGCAAACCCCTACACATTTTATTGTTTTTATGTAAATGGAAGATCATCCCCAAACATTAATTTTGTCATCTTAATGACTTAAATATCTACAGCTTGTAATATTAGCCTAGATTCCTTCAGTATTATGAAACGATTATCTGCTTTTCGTGCTATTATGAAAAAGGATGTTTATTATATTGTGAAATATAAAAGTTTCATTTCAGATATATATAGTGAAATAAAATAGTTTCATTTCACATATAATGAATAATATGCATATCTGAAATGAAACTATTTTATATCACAAAATAAAATATATGCCGCTATTTTAATTCATAATTTAATACCATCTGTCAGTGTAGATTTACTTGAATTAATTGTATATAAAATATAAGAGACGTTGTGTCGATCTCTGACATTGAAGCGTTACCGATGATTACCCAGCAGATGCTATCACGGGAATTGTATTTAATTATATACTGTTATCAAGCAGACCAAAAGTTTGTTTGATGTCTTCACACAGTCATAACAGGTGAACTAGGGGACAGCTAAGAGGGATCCATTTTACTTTCTTTATCAGATTAATTTGAAATTCCTTTGAGCTATTTCAGAGCCAGCACCCACTCGGTTATATTGGACACACGGGGGAAACAAACAGATAGAAAACCAATATCGTCATGTTCGACAGAAAACTAAAGCCTTGTCTGAACCAGTAATTGAATTGTGAGTTGGAAAAAGATACTTGTAATTGATACTCTGACATTAATCAAGATTACTGTGTTTTGAAAAGTCAGTTCAAAGACACACTATGAAAGTGTTGGTATCAATACGACGTGTTCAGGTGAGTGATGCTCTAATTCGATTTATACTACGTGAACATGTTCTTTGAAAACATTTAATAACATTATGTATATTACATATACATTAATGTATTCAATAAAAACAGAAATCTGGCATTGGTTTCTCTGTTGTTATTTAATATTTTGTCTTGCTATGCCAGAATACAACAGTTGCATGATTGTTCTTTCTTTACACTAGTCATATTGGTCTGCCAATCAACTCTCAGCAGCTGTAGAGGTGATCCTCGTCGCAAAGACACCCACTCCTAACTACATTACAGAGGTACACGTGACAAGGAGACCCTAATTACATTACAGAGGTACTCATGGCAATGAGACCCACTCTTACTTACAGTGCAATGGTCCTCGTCGCATGGAGACCCACTCTTACTTACAATGCAATGGTCCTCGTCGCATGGAGACCCACTCTTAGTTACCATACTGTGGTCCTCGCCGCATGGAGGCCCACTCTTAGTTACCATACTGTGGTCCTCGTCGCATGGAGACCCACTCTTATTTACATTACAATGGTCCTCTTCGCATGGAGTCCCACTCTTAATTACATTATAGTAGCCCTCGTGGCAAGGAGACCCAATCTTGTTTACATTACAATGGTCCTCGTTGCAAGGATGTCCACTCGTAATTACATTACAGTGGTCCTCGTGACATGGAGACCCACTCTTATTAACATTGCAGCGGTAATCGTCGTCGGAAGACCCACACTTTATTTCTATTACAGTGATCCTCGTCGTCGGAAGACCCGCTCTTAATTATATTTCAATGGTTCTTGTCGCAAGACGACACAATCCCAATTACATTACAGTGGTCCTTGTGGCAGGGAGGCCCACTGTAGGTACAGTGATACTGGCCCACGTCAGAGGGAGACCCACCCTCAGTTTCCTGAACAGTGGACAAAGAGACTCAAGTGGGAAGAAGGTCATACTCATTGCATGTACAGTTGTCCTCTCGCAAGAACAGCCATTGGCACTTACACGTGGAAGTAGTTCTCATTACTAAAGGCTAAATTCTAAGTCGGGTGTGTGAACACTTCTATATTGTGACATAAATATTGAATGCCTTAATCTCTCTATCTACCATAATCCCACTGTATCATCAATGATAAATAATTTCTCCGCGAAATGGCACCTCTGTCAGACATTGCATTATCCGACTGTTGTATGCACCAGATGTCACATAAATGGAGCGAGATTTACGGTCCACATCCCAGTTGTTAAGTAAGTGAATGAGTTTTACGACGTTTTTTAACAATATGCCAACAATATCACAGCGGATGACATAAGACATGTGATTTTCACATTGTGTCGATATGGGGAATCGAACCCGGTCTTCAGCGTGAGAGAACGCTTTTGCCACTAGACATTTGACAAGCTTCAGTTGTATCATTTTGTATGTTGCAATAATGCCAAGTTGCTGTTTCAGATACGCAAACACATATTTGTTCAAATAAACGCCGATAGGAACCTGTTTCCTATCACGGTAAGTTTGGCTGTTCCCTAAAGCCACAAAAAACGAACGTCTATTTTGTTGCAGCATGGGTTCGATTTCTCTTTTATTACCATTTTTCTTGTTAAAATCAATCAAACGAAAATCAGCATACAGTAATAAGTACAGACTAGGCACGTGAAAGGTGAAGGTTTCTTGGTGATAGTTTCTTATCAGCTAGCATAGGATTCCAAATGTAAACTTCAGATGTTAAAAGAACAATGTCAAGGCGACAATGGCTGTCTGTACACAAATCAGTGTCCTGATTTTGAGGAACTTGAATACTTTGCACTGATGAACTGCAATGGGAGGGGAGGTGAGGGTCAGTGATGATATTTCTCAGACATCTGAATCATAAATTCACAAAACATTAGCACTGCAAATAATTCAGGAGCAATTTCAACAAATCCAACAGATCACACATTCGGAATTTAAAAGGTCCACAAATGTTAGTCCATGGTACTCCTTCACCGACAGAAAACGCCATCTTCAGAACAAATGGTCTTCAGTCCAAACGAATGATGACCAACCATTTGCTGCAACAGGTTCAAGCCGCGGGACCAGTTTGGCGTCAAGGCAAAAAGATTCCTGAACGTTTGCTCTTTAAGTTGGGTTGTAAAATTGTACTGAAGCACTTCCGTCTGTCCTCCATGTCAGCACACAAGAAGTCGGATGAGCTCCGTTTACCGATGTTCCTCATGGACACCTGGTCCGTCTCCCGCGCTGCTTTGCGGAGTCGGGCGTACAAACGGAGATAGGTATAGAAACAATCCATCTGCTCCATGTCGGGCGGGCAGAGTGCCCAAGCGTCAACCATATCCCTTCCCCGCTTCACTGTTGACCATCGTCTTGAAGATTCTGAAAAGTACAAAAAGACGTGTTTTTGACTTCACTGCCAATGTACGTTATGAAATCCCTCTTACTAAGGTGACCGAATGGCAATATCTTGCCATTACCACATCCTTGTCCTCAGGAAGATCAGTTTTAGCCTGATGATCCTGACTGTACAAGGAACGTTGTTCTATGCAATGAACAGAAGTTTAAATTTCCATACATGCCGACAGGTATTCTGCCTTGCGACTTTTCATTCAATAGACATTTTACATTCAAAATACAAAATGCAGATAAACTCACAGCACATGAAGCAGATCAAATGCATAAACATTACTTTTTTTCTTTTAAAAAAGCAAGAACTGACGACCCAGTCTTGTACAAGAATCCCACTGAGTTATTATGTTTCAGGCCTTTCATTTTACTTGTTAATTACCACCAAAGGCAACCGAATTCATCTTCTTTATATTTATACATATATATTAAATGGCAGTGAGGTAGCCGTGTGGTTGAAACGTTCGTTCGTCACGCTGAAGATCCGGGTTCCATTCCCACAGGTGTACATGGGTAAAATGTGTGAAACCCATTTCTGGTGTCCCCGGAATGATATTGATACAAGCTGCGTAAAACTAAACTCACTCACTCACTCACTCACTATTTATAGACTTATATTAATAACAAGTTGAGTGTCTATTAATCGTTTGTGCCGTACGAGTCGTGCTCGGGGGTTGTTCGGGTTTTCGTGTTCCAGGGTTATTCTATTCTTTTCAAAGATCAAACATATTTTTTCAGGCATTTTCAATTACTTTTTAAATAAAATTCCAGGGTCAATCCATAGAATACTAAAAGGTCGGTCACTACCTACGAACTTTTTTCTCGAAGGATAAGCACCCCTATGTCACCATTGGTTACTTATACTTAGGTTCTTATCGTGTCCGTTAAATATTACCACCAGTATACCGGACATGATAACCGGATGTCATCATTTAAAAGTAAATCATGGGCGTGTTTTCGTGTACTTTCGCCAAACATTAGTTTTACCTCTGTTCGTTTTTATGCTGTAATTTCCCATTGGCTTCTATGAAATCCATTACTCGTTACTAAAATAACAAAAGGCCAATATGACAAAGTATTGCTTACTTGATTGTGTCCTCAGACATTTTCAGAGTACTTCAGAGAACTGTTGATTGAAGCAAATTGATCATTTAATGCCTACTGATATAGTATTCACCTTTCGTAATTACATTCTTTGATAGTTATTCCAGATATCAGCTGACGTCCTGCTAATACGAGTGGGCAAACCTAAGACGAATATACGGTACAAGTTAAAAGTCGTCGGTGTTAATTTCCTTCCAATAATCATATGAAAGGGCCAGACAGTATACTTTCAAACGGGCAGCCAAATTGAGTTCCATCTTGACCTCAACATGCGAAGCAGATGTATGAGTATGAAATGTGATCTTAGTCCGTTAGGAGCGACACAAAGACTCGACGACTTCCGGTGCAAGTTGATGCGAAATCGGATTCTTTGAGGCACGGTTGACACATTGAAGATCGCCTTCATGAGGTATTTGAAGTTTTAATTATCTACCAACTTATCCTTGGGACGTGAATAAACAGACAGTTATTTATGAAATGATTCTTTACTTTACTTGAAGGTTCGACCTACATGGTAACAAAATCATATATTTTCAAAGACAAACTGAATTACATCCTAGGTGACTACGCGCTAGTGTTAGCACAATGGCGCACCAGTTGATTGTAAAGTCATGATCCATGCTATGCTTTTAACAAAACAATTACATGTGTTTGGACAATTCTTTCATTCCACTGTGAGCCAAAGAGTGTCATCTAATGCCCTTTTAAAACATCAATTTACAGGTATATTCAGTTAAAAATTTCGAGGTTTGGTCCACACGTTCAAGTGAGTCTGCCGTGTGGAAAGACAGTGTGTGAGTAAATTTGGGTTCATCAGTGACCATAATTTTCCTCAGGCAGAGTGACCGGAAAAGTGGGGAACATGTTTTGGTAGGAAATTGTTCTTGTCTGGTTCACTCCTAAAAAGTGGAAGTGACAAAAGGTGTCAATGGTCTGCATGTATTGTTACAGGCGAATCCCCAAGAGCGTAGTTATGGTAGTGAAGAAGCAAGGGTATCGAATGAAGCATGTGGACCAACGGGAGGAGGTTTCTGGCATACAGAAACAAACAATAAAGACTTATCTATACATCAGTAGTTGCACATCGGCAGCGTCAGACGAACACATAATATAGTCAGAATTGTACAATCGACTCGGCTTCTAGCAGGGATATATTGAGATTATGGAAAGGGTATGTCGTCCCTATTGTGTTGTCGCATCTAAAATTGTACAACACAGATCCATATTTCCCTATGGCTGAGAAAGTTAGAAGCATAACATGCAACTACTGCAACAAAGAAGTTGTCTATCCATTAAAAGTGTTCCACTTCATCATACCAGCTTCTAAGTGCCACTTAAGGGAGGAAATTACATGTACAAATACAACGCTATGTATTGGCTATGCAAGTTGCGATATTTGTACTGACTGGTTAAGTGTGTAACGGGGACAGATAAGGCCTTAAACACGTGAAGACAATTTAGTTTGATCATTGAAGGACATTGATGGACATTTGAAACTGGAAAATGCACTGATATCGGCCATGGTCTACAACATTATTTGATTTCCATAGTCTCGAGGTCCAGCTGAAACAACGTCAAGCGGAAGGTCGGTAGTTCGATACCCGGTCCCGTCATACCGAACGGCATCAAACAATGATACCTATCGTTCCCATGCCTGACGCTTGAGAGGTATGGAATAAAGGTTAAACAAGGTCAGAATCTGAATATCATGACCATGTGAGACTGCAGCAAAACTTCCGTTTTTTTAGAAGCAAGTTAAGTGTTTGAAGTTAGATTCGCCTCACTTTACCTCATACTCGTTCATTTGAGGCTAAATATATCAGCCTTCATACACGTCTCTAAATGCAAACACCTTGACAACGACGTCAATACGCCGTTTCAGTTACCTCATCACTTACATCACGTTACAGATCGTACTGTAATTGAGCATTATGTTCTGGGCATGACGTTCGAAAAGACAAATGTGTTATTGCAAACTCCGAGGGCAACTGCAATAGATAGTAAACATTTAAATGAACAAGAAGGAATTCCTATGGGAAAAACATGAAATGTTGCTAGCTACGATATGATGACAAGTTGTTTTTGGAGAATACAAATGTTTTGTGAAAGCCAATATACCACAATCCAGTACAATCTAGTGCAGAACGAAACGACAAATGCCAAGTACTTGTTCTCAAACAAATCTCATACAAAACAGAATGTCAAACATCATGTTCTCAAATGACAACTTGAAGTGTGTTTTACAGCCATAACGTTTTGGCCTTTCCACTTGGCGTTCGGGAAATATGAAAAACACACTAGATGGCCATTTTTATGATCTTATTAGCTAAATAAAATCTGATAACAGTCATTAACCCGGTACACTACTCACGCGAAATTACCATTCCGCATTATGTTCTGCAATGAAAATCGTTTTAGCACTTACAATCGTTGTTGGGGATAAATCTTACGTAAACGCTCCCAGGGGAATGTTTTTGGGATGCACTGACGCTGAGATGTTTCTAATGAAAGGAGTGAGTTAATCGAACCCGGGTTTTCGGCGTGACGAGCGAACGCTTTAACCACCAGGCTACCCCACCGCCCAGTATATGCCTACTTCTATATATGCCAGCTACAAATATTATAAAGAACAGTGTCAGTTTTCTGAACTACTTTTCAAGAATTTCACCGTTTCTCGACACACGTGAGTATACCTGTACAAACAGGAAAGTTGTATGTCAATGAATTAAAAAATATCGATCGCACTATTGTTGGCATTGTTTTGGCTTTCAATACCGACTTCACAATAAATAGGGGAAATTAATTTAGTTTGAGGGTTTGAGAGTATGCCTGATGGATTTGTGTTCTTCAGTTGTTTACAACCATGCACAAAATTAAAAACATCATAAAAAAGAAGCTTGTCACAAAACATCCGAAGGGAAATTAGTTAGTCTCATTTTCCCACCATTATTTTTACAGCAGATACTACTTCCCATTTCTAGTGTTCAATTAAACATCTTCTTATTTCATTTTTTTCTGTTTTTGTGAGACATACTTGCGCATCGGCTATATCTATGACCTTTCGAGAGTATAATATACAGAACATGTGCATAGAATTGTACTCCCGAGATAATTGTTGATAAGAGCGGATGCGCAAGTATGGCTCCCAACAGCTATGACTGGAAAGAAAAATGCTGAAGATGCATGTGTATTTAAGCCACAATTACCAATGCCCCTACTGTATCACAGCGATCTATAAACAGTCGAATCTGAAGCAGACACATCGGTAGGTCACACCATAAGCAGTGTTACAAGGCATCGAGCTACGATGACAAACAATCAGGTTGGTTGGACATTTTAACCACGCGATCACCACCTTTAACCTGGTCCCATATCTGACCGCCTCCGTGGTGTAGTGGTTAGAGCGTCCGCCCGGAGAGCGGAAGGTCGCGGGTTCGATACCCGACCGCGTCATACCAAAAAGACGTTAAAATATGGTACTTGTTGGTCCCTGTCTGACGCTCGGCATTAATGGGTACAACAAGGACTGGTCGGCTCGGAGTCAGTATAATGTGTCTGAGTGGGGTATTCATGCTTCACTGCGGCATGGTATCTCAGTGGGCTAGCACTATAAAACCAGCTTAAGTCTGGGCTAGTACAAGCAGGCGCACATACACATACACACGCATGCACGTCGTCATATGAGCGAAATATTCTCAAGCACGACGTTAAACCCAATTTCACCTCATCTCACCTGGTCCCATATGTCCCAGGGCACTACTATCCTAAACCTGTTCCAATATAATAACGGTGGTATTTATGCTGAAACAGTTAACATGACAAGAAAAACGCCACGTCACAATTATGTCACAGTTCAATGCTAATATCGC